CAGTTTACACTTCTAATTAATTAAATGTTTTTCCTACCCAAGTATAACAATGTGTTTATTTTGGTTATTATCTTTTTTTGAAATTAATTTACCTCTTATACAAAGACCAAATCCAGTGTTTGTGTACTGATAAGGATTATTTTGTGATTAACATGTAGGTGAATGGAAATTCCAATAAAATTGTAATTCACATATGACTACTTTGATAACGAATTAGTGCACGTTTTTCCTGCTTCATACTTCTTTCCTGGAAAAATAGTCATTTTTAGAATTAAATCTCCTTTGAGTATTTCCTTTATTACATTTTTTGTCAATTGAATAATCAGTAACATGAGTCAATAAACGGAGTTTTATTACTGTCACATACTATACGAGATGATGACCAAACTTCGACCTATTAAGTATAAAAAAAAATCTTCTGTATTGTGGGAGCGTTTATAAACATACAAGTTCACATACACAGGGTACCATACCGTAATCCGGAGGAACAATCTGTGGATCACACAAAGATTGTTCACAGAAGACGTAGACAAATCGAAACCGCTACACATTTCGATCCTGCCAGTTGCCCACCCACCGCGCCGTCAATGTTATCTTCTTATCCATGTCATACAAGATAGGATTATTATAATTATCTGCTTATCAATACATTGTGTAACAAATTATCAATAACAAATTCTTCCTCATAGTCAAAATGAATCGATAACAAATGTTATCAAATTGGGTTTTTTGAACATCTTTTATAATGCACGTATATAAATAATACCTAAAAGTAAATGAACAGTTAAGATACATCATTATTTTTAGGAGTGCTTCCGCATGGGCCGGCTGACTGGAGTAATACCATGGTCTCACAAAAAACCGACGTGAAACAACGGTTGCGTTGTGTTTCATCGTATGTGTGAGGTTACCGGAGGCCCGATTACCCATCCCCAATCTCCCCAGTCCCTTAATCTTAAAATTATTAATCACCAATACGTAACGCACTTGTAACGCTCTGGTATTCCGGGTGTCCATCCATAGGCGACGCCGATTGTTTACGATCAGGTGATCCGTCTGCTCGTTTACCGGTTTATCCCATTAAAAATGTGAAAAATTTGATTGTAATTTTTTGAGTACGCCATACAAAACTAAACGCTGGTTACTGCCTTGGTCAGAGATTAGGTTTTGCCATACAACGTGGTATCGCCACCAATTTTTTGGGCACTCTACTTCACGACAACAATGAGGATTTTTTCAACATTATAAGTTATTTTCCTATTATTATTAAGATGATTTTAAATATTTTTTTTTAATGATAATTTAGTTAGAAAAGTCTTCTAAAGGCATGGGTAAATACTCAGAAATATTAAGTTTTCGTGTGGAACTTATAATGTAACATTCTGAAACTATTCGATTTCATAAGCTGTTCACGCTTTTCGTTATCTATTCACGAGTCATTTCATGCTCATCGCGATACTTGGAAAGCGTCTGTGTCAGCGAATTTTGAGGAATATTGTATTAACCGTGTTTTTTAATGTAGATAATATTAATGGTAACGTAATGTAAAGGCTGACTTAATCTATCCCTTTACGTGCAGGAGAAGGAACGGAGTGGTATTAAGTCAGTAAGAGTCTGACACTCCCTCCCGCCTCACCCAGGCGGGAGCAGTCATTCGATGATTTTCCCCCCTAAAAAAAAATCTATCCCTTTGACTAATTTGATAGTTATGTCTGTCAGTCATTATCAAAAAACTGAAGAAATATTAATAAGGGTCAATCTTTCAATCATCAGATAATTTGTAACTGTAGAATAAAATTGACATTTGATAGTTTTTAGTATAGAAGAATAGTCAAATATTAAAAGTTATTTCTCAGTAAAAATTTATCTGGCGTTGGATAAATCCGCCCTAAATTGACATGAAATTTGAAGTAGTTACAACTGAAATATATTATAGTCTTGAGTCTGTAGTTTTCACAGTGTCTCCAACAAAGTGGTCCTATATTTTTTTCCTTTTGAGGTAAGCAACCCTAAAAAGATAAACAAAAGCTTTAAAACAAAAACCTAAGCACTAAATTAGACATGAGCTTACTTCGCACTTTGCCATGAATTATTAAAATAAACTTTAATATAAATAAAGTAGAGTTTTAATTAAACTGTCGCGAACAACACTAGAAATTCACTCAGCTAGGAATTAGGTGAATATATAATATAATAAATAAGGTACGGAGAGTGGCGTTGGTGAAGTCACGTCGCTGGAGGCTCATAAATGGGGACTGTACACCCATTTACCGTAAGAACTTAGTCTGTGGTTTTGTTATTTAACAGAATAGTACCTACACTCTCGCAGTAATGTAAGTGCACCAAATGGATGGTAATAGCATAGTTGTGTGTTTTGTCGCAGTGTAAATTCACAAAATATAGGTAAATACACAACACAGCGCTCTACGACTTCAAATTTTATTCCAAACTAGCTTCTTCTCTAGTTTCTGCTTGCGACTTCATCCGTATATTTTTCCTGAAAATATAATCAACTAATGGTCGACTGTTTGCCTGCCTAAGGCATTAAGTCCGCTTATACAACATATCTTTTTGTGTCAAGTATTTACTCTTTGAGTACCGTCATTATAGACACAATTAAAGAACAATAGGTTGCGGTCACCGCTGTCATTGCGGTGTTTGACAGTTTAAATACACAAATAATGGTGAATAAATTTTTCGGTACGGTCACCTCCTATTGCATGGGAGTTAGGTATATCCCAACTGGCTAATAGAGGGCTTTACATTCCGTATAATATGACTTGGTCTTGGTGTATTGAAAAACGTAAGTCAATGCACCTTTTTTATACCTACGGGGGAAAACTTACAAAAGGTGCATAGCTTTGTGAAATTTTTACTTCACTAAAACCACTACGGTGGCCACCTCAGCGCAGGGGTCCTTTAATAGACCTGCTCCGGAGCCCCCAATGTCAATGCACCTAACATATAAAAATACAAATGAAAATAAATATTACTTGTTTATTTATCTTAATCCAAGGAAATGTAAGAGACAATAACGATAAAAGAATTAAATAACACAATGTACCTACAAAATAACACGAATAACAGAATGACATTTTATTTAGGACATTATTAAATTCTTTTTCAATTATTTTCATTGTCTCTACCTTCTACATTATTAATTTCGTTGCTAAACAAACAAGCTCTTTTGAAGATTAATTTGAAATTTATCAAGAACGACCTGAACGTTGACGAGGAAGACCACTTTTGATATAATAATCACAATTGTTTGAAATATACAGTAAACCTACTTTGAATTAAGTGATAATTAACAGTTATAAATACTAGTTATGGAAATATATACCCATTTGTTTGTTGTATTATTCTAGATGTTGAAGTTTGAACAAGTTATTGTTTCGAGAGCTTAGTTTATAACAATGAAAGCTTATTACTATAATATATAAATAAGGGAGACCTTATTTAAATCTCGATTTGAATTTATGTGGTTTTACAGTCGGGCGTGCTCCATCATAGGCCGCATCATCGCCTACTACCAGGCGAGATTGCGGCCAAACATCAGCCCATCAAATATAAAAAGTTGCAGTTACAGTTTTTAACCAATTTATCAAAGTATTAATAGGTTTTTAAAAATCTCAGTTGCTACAACTGAGATTTTTAAAAATCGGAGACTGGAGATGTCCCCAGTATATGGCAATAGGCTCACCCCCTATTACATGGGATTTATAACATAAATAGTCAAAAGTGGGCGTTACATTGTACAGTGGCATTAAGTGCCGAATTGTGCACCTCTGCCAATCCCTTCGAGGATAAAAGGCGTGATGTTATGTTATGTTTTGTTAAATATATTTTATGACGACTAAAATCAGAATTTTAAAATAAAGTTTATTGTTTGTTTGTGTCTACAAATTAGTCAAGAAACTTTATTAACTGGAATAACTAAATACTGCATAACTTTTTTTATTATTAAATTGAAAGCGTAACGAGAGACGATTTACGACGAACATACCCTTTTTCTTCGCCAAATAAATAGAATGCCTTTCAGAACGTTTCAGAACAGCCTGTATTCTTCTCACGAGTTTCGTATTACCAGCGTAAAGTGTATAAGTAGAGAGACGACCAATCTGAAGGCTTTATAACTTTTGCTTTGATGCCAACCAGAATCTTTTAAAAGTTTTAGCGTCAAACCTTCAAACAATCAAACTTATAAACTTTGCTCCCGAAGTGTTGATCGATTACCTTTACTCAGAAATTAGTTTAGTTGAAAAATCGAGATACTCTTCAAGCAGTTCATGAGGAAGAAGATCGATTTACGTTATGGTACCCCTATTTTGTTTACGTTAGTGCAATAAATTAAAACTTTTATTTATGACTGGGTTCAGGAGAAGCCATCCGAGTTCCCACTTTGAGATGAAGATTTTTTATAAAATATGTTTTTGGCATGTCATCATTGTCACTCGGATAGTACCTAGCAGAGGAGCTGCCATGATTTTTTTAGGACCTATGCTTCTAATACATTATGTACTGTAATTATGTATGTATTAGTGATATATAATTAGAATAAATATTCACATTCGAAAATATTTGCATTTTTTTTGACATTCACATTCGCATTATTCGCATTCGCGAATATCTAAAATATGATATTCGTTACGTTACAAAGTTTCAGTAGCAAAATGAGTTTTCGAAACTAGCGTGACCTCCTCTACTATTTGAATTTGATATATCATTGGGTTTCTGCACCTATACTTTTTTTTTATTTATTCATGCAAGATCGTTTCTTTCGTCTTCAGAACTGGTTTCTGCGAGTATCTCTTATTACAGGTACATGCTATTCAGAGTTTCAGAGGTTTGACAACACGTTTGACAATTTGACAGATGCATTTTTGACATTTACTTTAACAGTAAGTTTAAAAGTAACCAGAGAAAAGTGAGCGGTTACAGTTATAGTTAAAGTTATGACGTCATTTCAAAAGTTATGCAGTAGTTATTCTATTTGTTACCTTATGCATGTTAACAGCCTGTGCCGAGTGCTGCAGCATTGTTCAGCTTATATGTTTGCAGATGACCTGTGCATACTTCGCTCCGGAACTAACATTGATGATGTCTGTCAGCTAGTTCAACAAGATATAGACGCTGTTGTTAAATGGTCACATGACAATGGCATTATATTAAACGCAAGTAAAACTAAATTAATGTTAATTCGTTCGCCATATTTGCAACCTCATAATGGGATTCCGTCCTTATTTAGCCACGACTATACATGTCACCATAATAATTTACTGGATTGTAAATGTAAACCTATTGAAACAGTTAACTGTGTAACCTACCTTGGTGTGAAAATAGATAGTAACTTTTCCTGGTCACAACATGTAGACTATATTTCTAGTAAACTAAGAATTTTATTGAGTAAAATGTACCACCTAAGCTTTAAAGTTCCTATTAATGTTTTAAGATGTATTTATATGTCATTGGTTGATTCTATCATGAGCTATGCTCTTGACAGCTATGGGTTAACATTTAAAATACATTTAGATAAATT